ACAGGCAACTATCGTTAATTAATTCCACCTTCACGCTGACTCACTCGCTAACATCACTGCTTAAGTACCTATAGGTATTGTACGTTGAAAATATTTGCTAATAAAACAATATTGCAGTGGCAGCGACCTCTATGTTGAATATTGATGAAATGAGTTATTCTGAGTAAAATGTGATTCGAGCGAAGAACCTTGGTTTCAATTCGGAGAAACGTCTCTGAACCAGTTGTCGGGTTATTCCCAAGAGAGTTATTTATTATGGAAATTAGTGCATTCTATATATTTTCTTAATTGACTATCCTACCCAAAAAGAACGAATTATTAACCGCTTGAATGCACGGATATGAGACACAATATAAGAAAAAATACATTGTATCTCGCGTGGATCCAAGTTTACACTAAGTTTAAGTTTACACACGACGGGCTAAACAAATTATAAATGAGTTTTTGTGTCTACATAACCACGGGACTTCTCCCTGTAAGTTGCTTTAGTGGCTTATAACATAATGGAGCCAATGATAACATTTTCCTGGTCAAAGCTCAAAAGGAATTCTGCGAAATGTTGACTCAACTAGGTAGGAGTACGTGTATACCGATTGCTATGCCATAGGCGAGTGTAGTTACACAACCTTTTTGGTATTCAATAAACAACTTTATGATAAATGACTTCTAAGTAAGTTATAAATCAACGGTTTTGTCTATGTCTACACTAGAATTATTATAATACACTCTACATGTCTATGAAAATTAGAATATAAAAGTTATTTCATATTATTAATACTTACCCAAGCTAATGAAGGTTCTCAGTCATTAATTTTTGTATTACTTTTGTAAAAGTGATACCTTCATTGTATTTTAAAAAAGCAAACAAAGATCACAAAATTCTCTATGGTACCAGCGAAAGGGACTTCTGATTCTATAGACTAAGTGAGAACCAGTAAACAGCTATTTTTTTTTTCAATAGATAAAAAGCCAAAATCTTTTAAAATTCAATCAATGGCAGTGATATAAATAAAATAATTTAAAAACGAATCCTTGTAGATATCTTTAGGTAAGTACATTACAAGATAATAATTCAATTTAAAACAAATTACTTCGTATTTGACATCAATTATTATTTTGATATATTGATATAAAAGATAGATATCAACTTTCAATAGATACGTTATGAATAACACGGCCATTTTAAAGAAATTAACATCTGCAGATTATTCATTTAAGTTACGATTAAGGATAAATCGATAAGCTATCGATAGATAGGTACGTGCAGCTCTAAAAATAAATTAATTTGTCAACTTTGTTTATGAAAAAACCACTGAAAACAGTTTTACTCTACGACTTTACAGTTTATATATTATTCATGTAATTTTAGTTTATTTTATAGTAGGTAACCTTTACAATAGATTGACAAATGAGTGTAGGACTAAATATATCCTAAATACGACACGTACTAAGCAGTTATCAATATGAGCCGCAGTTTTTTATTCACCGGATAGTGCTAATGTAACGTGGCTTCGTGTTTATTGAAAGACGGCAGCCTTCATTGAGTGTAAAATGTAGTAACACGAACTCCTTTTCATATCATCCATCAAAGAACTCCCAAGAGTAAGTTCTATCTAGCATAATGAAAGGTGTGTTAAACTCGCATATTTATGCACCATGGCAAAAGCTCACCGCCAGGTTCTTGCATAGCTCTCCCGTGAATCACTGGGTTGTGTGAAGGTGCGCGACTTTTGCATATTAATACACATCCAAATGCGTCGTGTCGTGGTCGGCGTCGTCTGCGCTATTTACGTATGAACGCTATTCCGAGCCGAGCCAGACGCCCGCCGCGGCGCCGGATCATGCATAGCGAACTCCTTAACACGCACTTCACCTTTATCCCAAAAAAACGCGCCTTTGATCTAACAAAACAAAAACTAATCCGGTTTGGTTTACCCGCTGTGATTGCTCGTGTATTTGCTTCAGAATGCTCGCTAATAATAACATGTATTTAGAATCTTCGATTAGAATTTTGATGCATTCTAAATTGTTTCTAATTTTAAATAAGCTCCCGACTACGACGACGACGTTCATGCTTTAGACTAGATACGAAATATTCTATGACACAGAATATCAAAATAATTATGTAATATAGACCAATAAACAAAGGTATTCAAAGAAAACTAGAGATTACCCATAAGGTAAGGTTTCAAACCAATTTATTTGAGTACCATGATATTACAAAATGACACTGCTTTACAAACTAACCTACGTACAACGTAACAATATCAATTACTTACTTGACATAACTAACACGCGTTTGGAAAACCGACGACTAGCGGATATTGTATCGGGCAAGAGAAAGTTCCGAAAGAAGAAAATTGTGTAAGGCACAATTTTACAGGCCTCGTATTTCAAGGAGACTATGAAATGATACCTTACAATATCATTCCGTGGTTTCAGTAGTTCGTAAAACTTTTGATATTTTAGTATTAACAGAGCACTCATGTTACAAAACAAGTTAAAAAATTTACCAACCATTTAATTAAATTTTTACAAAAATCAAATAAGTTTTTAGTATAACCATCTCTATACCACGTCAGCTTGTCGTCGATTTACCGAGTTGTATAGAGGGCGCTTACACGTTATTCCGACGATAGGCAGTGTATACAAAGGCCATAGTTCTTACTACTCGTTAACGATGAACAATGGTGCGGTATCACCTTAATAAGAACAACTTTTATTCAGACACAATCTTCATGACTTGCTTCACACAATGTCGCTGTTGTAACCATTACTTACATGTCAACAATTCTTCAATGTCTTGCAAATACAATTAATTTTTATTACACTCATACTGATACATACCTACTCAAAAATGATTCTTAATGGATAGTTTAGCTTCTTACAGTATTTTATCTTCACAAATAACTTTAACCAAAAACGTTGAAAAAAGGTGGATATAGTCTCTTGTAACAACGACTGTGGCATCTGGCTACTATAGACATACTACATATACTACAGACATACTACTACACGCATTGACACGAAGGACATCCGGACACGACCCGTCTTTACACTTCATACATTACGGTGTTGCAAGGACATATTAATTAATTATTATGTATATAATTAATTATTAAATATTATGTTGCAAATACACTCACACGTAAATACCACTGACATTTTGGTTTCTAATTGACATTACGTCCGCCATTTTTTTAACGTTCTTGACTTTAACAGTGCAATTATGTATTTACTTTTTGAACGTCATAAGTTGGTGCAAAGCAAGTCATGACTGCTGTAATATCAGATCATCTTAAATCACTTAAACTTCCATACATTCTATATTACGTCGAGAAGGCATGTAAATTACATTATGACAGTTACATCAGCCTTCTCTGTATTAACCACAGCCTACAAAAACTATACAGATGGAAAATAAATTAATAAATAAACTTATTAGCAAATAACTCATTACATTTCATTGCAAAAAGTTTACTATATTGTTGTTACATGTCCAATTGTCCACGCACTATTTTATTTTACGAGCATTTTAAAACGTTTTAGTTAATTTTCATTAAATACAAAATCATTTTCATGTACTAGTTAAACATAATAAAAAGTACCTTATTATTTAATAAGTATAAAATTGGGGCAAAGACATTTTTGTTCCTGTTTTTGACCATAACTATTATAATTAGAACACAGAAAGGGATATATAAGGACTATCTGTAAAAATGTTTCATAACTTAGCATGAAGAACAATTTCAAGGAAAATGTGTTTCAAATGAGAATACGACCGATTTTCAGGCATATCATAACTTCTATCAATTACTATTTCGGTTATAACATATACTTTTCTTGTAATCTGAACCTATTTTATTGTGAGGCTATTTCAGAGGTTGATATCGTACCTATTCTTATTAGAAACATACTGTATTTCATTGTGTTTAAGAGATGATAAGTACAGTGTACAGTATGTCCGTTAAAATATTTTAAATAGGAGGCACCAAAGAACCAAAATGGAATTTAAAAAAGTGTCACTGGATCACATTGTAACAGTTCGTAGAGTTAAAATTTATTGTGATGTAAATAAAACAAAAAAAACCTGCAGCCATAGGGAAGCCTATTGCTGCAGTTTTTTTTATTAATTTAATTAATTCGTAACGTTCGATGGACACTTTCAGTTTGATTCCCGCAAAAGATGGTACTTCACATCTCCACACTGAATAACCAAAGCTCCTTTTTTTAAAGACGGTTGACTCAATTCTAAGCTGTACTTAAATATCGTGCCATCTCTTTCATTTTAAAAACAATTTGTAGTGACAACTTAAGCGTGACTTAAAATTGAGTAACGCTTGAGTATTTCGACATATTTATTACATAAGTAGACAAGCCAAAAACAGTTATTGCACATTTTTTGTTGATTCAAAATCCAGAAATATTTTTGCAACATGATACATTAAATAAAACTTATAAATCCATAGCACTTTATATAAACTTCATTTTCATTTAACCGATTAATTAGTACCAACATTTATTTTAAAATTTTAGCTAATATTATTATTAGAACAACATAATTACAATAGTAGTTAGACTACGAATTTTATAGTTATCCTGACAATAAATAACAATTTATATTTTTCCTTGAGCTGTAATTATTGTTACCAATTGGATACATTTTATTATAGATAAGACTAGCTGTTGCCCGCGACTTTACCCGCGTAAAATATGAATTTTAGGAAATGACTTTTTAAATTTTCCAAAATAAAAGTAGCCTTTGTTACTCCTTAGTACATCAGCCGGTCAAAAACGGTCCAGCTATTCCAGAGATTAGCTAGTACAAACAGACAGACATACAGACAAAAATTTTAAATATATTTTAGTCTGGGTATCGTATGTATATTCATATGCACGAAGTAAAAAGCGGTTATTTTAATATTGCAAAAAGACACTCCAACTTTATTTATCAGTATAGATGCATGCATAGTAAAGCTAGCTTTGGACAAATTGCCATATTTTTTTTATTATTATTATTTAAGTTTAATAGGATACACTGGGAAGAGCTTAAGCCACTATTACATTTTTATAGTTTTAAGATTCACCACCTCGCCACAAAAAAATATATTCTTTCTTTATACTTCGAATTAAGTTTATAAAACCACATATTTAAACCTTTGATTGCCAATAGAAGACTGGCGAAAGCAAATGCTCTGCCAATGGGACCCGTACGATATTTAAAGTGTAATAGACATTTAACTTGTGTAATCAACATTACAATTAATTTCATGGTCATACTGACACTGATAACTTTTGAAAACCACTATATATTGGACATTTTTGTAGCAAGTACGTTCGTATAAAGCATTGTTTTTGGGTTTATTTTAACGAATTTATATTAAAAAAACTACAGAATGACTTTACTGTTTTTTTTATTTTTATAAAAAAAATGATTTTTTTGTGTTTATTAATTTTGATCGTTACTCAAAATGTAGGCCCAATGTTATAGGATTAGGGTATGTATTTACAACTGGTCAAATATTTTGTATCGTTAAACTCTAATGAGCTAGTAACCCATAACTAATCTATTATTTAGTTGCAACTGCAGTTGAGAGTGAAAAGTACCGTGTTTTAATTGCACTTCGTTCGATCTGAAATACAATAAACATAATATTTTAGTTATAATACTTACATATTAATATAAGTACAAAAATAAATAATGATAAAGTAAATAGAAACGTGTAAGATGGAATTTAAACAGAACAAAACTTGAATGAAATGAAAAAAAAACGTACGTAAATTTACGTAACTCACGATAAGCCTAAAAAAAAAAGTTTTTTTTAAATATACTAGCTGACCCGATAAACTTCGAATTCTACGAACGATTTCATGACCAAAATTAGCCAAATCGATTCAGCCGTTCTTGAGTTTTAGCGAGACTAACGAAAGGAAATTCATTTCTATTTATATATGTACAAAAACTATGATTGTAATGTGAGTATGAGATGGAGTAGTGTGAGTACAAACCTGTATTGTCAGGCGAGGTAGGCCCGCACGAGTGCCCGCACGGGCGCGCGACACAGCGGGCAGGCGCCCAGCGCCGCCCCGCACCGCGCGCACGACACCAGGTGCCCGCACGGCAGGAACACCACGCTCACCTGCACACGGAGTGACATCATGGAACACCTTTACTTCTATGTACCGTCTATCTAGTTAAACGAGCAGACGGATCACCTGATGGCAAGCAATCGGCGTCGCCCGTGGACAATTGGAACACTAAAGGCGTTACAAGTGCGTACCGGCCTTTTAGGGATTACGAATTTGAGGATTGTTGGGAATTCAGATTGAACGACGAAACACAACGCAAGCGTTGCTTCACGTCGGTTGTCCTTGAGGCCGTGGTATCACTCCGGTCTAGCCGGCCCATTCGTGCCGAAGCATGGGTGTCCCACACTTAATCGGTATTCAAGTAAGAATATAAAGACCGCTGTAATACAGATACAATAGTAATTGTTATACTAAATTGTATGCTTTATAATGAAACTTGATCTGTTGTAACTGTTCGTCGGTTAAGTACCCAACCAATGGTAACTGTCTCTGTACTGAATCAATCTTTATTCTCTTATACCTGGATAATAAATAGCAATGTTGACTATATATACTCTAGCTTTTGACTACGACTTTGTATTCAATATACACTGAGAATTTCATAAATGAAAAATCCAAAATATAATTACAAAAGACAATAATGCTTTTAAGTTATCGCTTTTTTCCACTGCTTATGTAACGTGGTGTCTATTTGTGCAATCACAGTAGCTGTTCTAAATTTATAAATAGTTTAATGGAATGAGTTCTCTCGGTACATTAGCTTATACTGGCCAATAATTTTAACTTGTAAATAGTTAAAAATTAAAAATAATCACATTTTCATTAATCGATTTGATGATAGACTAGTTAGGTTACGACAAATGACATATCGTCATTATTTGATGAAATATATAGCGTCATAAGTTTTTAATTTCTTATGCAAAGTTCACACATCAGTTGACATATACTTTTAGATATTATCGAAAAAACTTGAATTTGAAACATGTACAACATACGGAAAACTAATACGATTACTAGTATGAATATTTGCTAACGTCATAATGAGTCAGGCACTACCATCTGTGATGTGTCATTCAGCTATATTCATACATATTCCTGTCGTATCATGACATAGAACAAAAAATAAACAAAGTTGGTCTACCCTTTGTCCTTATGACTAATCTCGTATTTAAAGACAAAGTAATGGGTTTTTGGAGTCAGACTACATATTTAATTACGAAGACAGTATCCTACCTATCCAGTACATACTATGACAATATATTTCATAAAGTATGATAACGCTGTTTCTATGTCTTGTAAAATAAAAAAAAATAAAAAATAACGACATGTTTGTTGTTATTATTAGAGTTTCTGAGAGATTTGAGAGCTTAGTATTAGTCTGTTCACGACAAACGTGATCGACACGTTTATGACGTTCGGCATTCTGATTGGCCTGAGTGCTAAGCATCACTATCGCAAACCTACCCTCTAATTGGCCGGCTCCAGTGAACCAACCAATCGAGCGTCGAACGTTCAATACTATTACGTTACGAATGGGATAGTTATTCCTCCTTGGCACTCTGCTCTAATGAATCGACGAATCAGAGGGTTAACGCGGTAACGTTTCTTTCTGGTTAAACGTAAAACAAATTCGTACTGGGCCCTCAGATGGTGTAGACTAAGTAAAAAATTATATTTAGTTGAATTTTGAAACTCAACCAAAGGAAGAAAAAAGAAAAGAAAAATAAAACATACCTCACAATCCATGCACACTTTACATAATCTGGCTTCTTTCAGCTGTCTATTCTCTTCTTCTAGCGACAATTTCTTCGTCTCTTGCGCAGGCGAATCTTGCGCATTGTCATTATCAATTTTAACTTCAGTTTTAGGTTTAGTTGCTGTATTACTATTATCTACGTCCCTTGCAGGCGACCGTCTGGCTTGTTGGCTAGTGCTGTAAGGCACATCACGGTTATTAACGTCATTTTCTGAATCATCATCGTCATCGTCATCAGGGGTCATTGACCGAGCTGGACTGCTACTTTGATCGCTTCCATACGGACGGGTTAGTAAGGCCACGTGTTGAGATGGAATCCTGAAATGTTAATAATATAAGTTTAGTACATCCTTGTAAAGTGAAAATGAACGAAATGATGAAAATTAAATTAAAAACAGATTGAATGATTAAATGATTGAGTGATTTTGCTGAGATTGTGACAAATGGGAAATATTAGTTTGTTAACTCAAACTGTTATGATTTAGCACGTTTTCTGTGATCAATCATGGTGCGAAACTTAATTTTTTTTTTTATGAATATCGTAATTTTGACACTGTTATGTTTTTTGTTGTTTTATTCTCTATTCTTTTAAGTTTATTATTAGTACTTTGTTTATGTTAGTATCTGTATGTTTATTTTTTATAATGTTTGTTTTGTGTGCTAATTGCCAAATAAATGTTTTTTCTTTCTTTCTTTCTCCTAAAAAGAACAAATTGTAAAACTCGATATTGAAATACTGACCCAGATCTTGGTGCAAATTCTCTGAAAGTTTCAGAGAGTATGTCCCGAGCGAGTCGACTCTGTGGCGTCATAGACCACGGCTCCTCATTGAGCTGGTCGTCTAGGACGGCGTCTATCAACGCCTCTGATGATGTGAAAGGAGTTCCTGGAAACCAACATAATCAATATATTTATACAAATGTGTGCATTTCTGTTTACTTTTTGGAAATATCACGACCGATTTTGGATGCATGCGACAACTTAAAATGAAACTGTTTGTGTTCTTTAATGTTCTGATGTAGTCAGGATACTAAAAATAACAGTTTGGTGATTAATAAGTGACCTCTTTGAGGAAAACGATGTCAGGACCTGTTTTAATTTGAATAACTTGCACCTGACTTGTCGTTTTAACCTACATTGTTTTTACTGCTGACATTAAGCGGTCGAAATGCAACGTATTTGCGTTAATCAACGTGGTGCGTCTCGAGAACTATATATTTTGTTTATTTTAAGTTCTAAGTCAAAAGCATTCAATAAAAATGGTGTTTCTATTCAAAAGCATTCAATATAAATATAATTTATTTCTATTCAAAAGTTTCAAGGCAAGGCAAGGCAAGTTTGAATAGAAACACCATTTTTAGGGACATAATTTATCTAATACTGTTAATATAAAGACGTAAGATTTGTTTGTTTGTACCGAATCAGCTCCAAAATTACTAGTCCGATTGAAAATTTGTTTCATCAAAGGAAAGCTAAGGTTTCAAAAAGTAATATACTTTTTAACCCAATAATCTAATGCTACATTTGCACTCTCGCGCGGGTGGACACGAGGTTGAGGTACATTGCTGTCTTATAATACGAGAAGGACTACAACTCTTTTAGAATAACGACAATGTATCTAGGCCTCGTCTGGACTCGCGCAAGAGTGTCAATGTAGCATTACAATCAAAATCCACGCAGGCGAAACTGCAGGTACGAAGATTAACAGTTTACTGGATAAAATGTAACATAACATAACATCACACCTTTTTATCCTCTAAGAGGTAGGCAGAGGTGCACATTACGGCACTTAATGCCACTGTACAAT